CCATGAACGCTTTAAACACGATGACGCCCTGCTGACATGCTCTTGCGGCCGCAGAAAGGAACCATCCCATTTCTATCATTGCAGGGAGGGCCGCAAAGCAGCAGCACATTCATGGGGCCACCGGCCTGTGACTGATATCCTCCGCACAAAGGCTGGATACACTGCATTTGCAGGCTGGCTGGGAGATTCCAACTTCTATACAGATATCTGCCGACGACATTAGGCCACCAAAATCCGTCAAATTCAGGGATACCCAGACCTACCTCTGGTCCCTATCCCTCTCTCCAGACTCTTCCCTTCATCCTCCCCTTAGTGTACCCTGTTTTTCTCCATCCTTCTTGCTCGCGTTCTTGCTTTTCTATCCAAACCAATATGCACAATTCGCTGGTTGACAGCCATGAAAAACCCAAGCAGCCCCCCGCGCGGGGGGCTACCTGTATTTAGATGATAGATGGTAGTTTAGCTAGGTGACAGACAGTTCCGATCTGTCCGTCGTATGTCCCGCACCGGGACCAGAGCCTCACCGCTTCTGTGGAAGGACTCGCCCCCGACGTAAAATAGACACACACGCGCACACACACACTACTAGCTTTGATCTGTAAGCTACCCGACAGGCTCATGTTGCTTTATCCGGGTCGTATCCAAAATCCCTGCGGACAGACCCTTTTCATCCATTGTCAGACGTGAAAACGGCTAAGCCAAAAGTAAAAAGGCTCTCTTTTAAATACTTTACAGGTCATTATCTTCCTTGACAAAGCACCAAGATAATAAGACAATGCTCCGTTCGCGCCTGCGGAACCTCCCCTGCCAACGTCCCTCCGCCTGCAGTGTTCCAGCGCCTGATCTACTACATGAGGATGTCAACACCGAGATCAACGAGTCACTTGAGGATATTTTCGAAGCTTCTCGGACGCACCTCTTCCCAGATAACCCGCGGCTATACTTAGGCGGCCCTGGCGAGCAGCTTCTCTATAACACCTGCTGGGGCGATCTGACGGTCATGGTGCCCACGTACCCGAGCCTGAGTGATCAACATCTAGAGGAGAATGATATCAAACTGACAGAGAAAGATGGGCAACCAGACCAGGTAAATCAGGCGCGCAAGCTATTTGCTCATTACCTGTGGAATGGAGCCTTAGTAGTCGCTGAGGGTGTGGAGGATGCTTATTCTAACAGCGGGGAGGCAAACCCCAAGCAGGAGGAAGCTCGTGAGATATGGCAGGTGGAAGGCGAAAGTGTATTGGAGCTAGGCGCCGGTGAGTATCTTTTCTTTCTACGGCATCCGTCACCCACTAATGCCCATCATTTGTTGGATCAGGCGCCGCTCTCCCTTCGCTGATCTGCGCCCTAGCCAAGGCAGCCACTGTCGTTGCTACAGACCACCCTGTCTCGCCCGCCCTTGGGGGGGCAATCACCTTCAATATGGACCACAATCTGCGCAATCGCCCCGAATTAGCTACCGCGCATGTCTCTACCCACCCCCATGAATGGGGTTTGTTCTCGGACTCGTTCTCCCAACAAAACCAGAGCGCCTTTACTCGTATCATTGCCACAGACTGCTTCTGGCTGCATTCACAGCATGAAAACCTCGCTCGTTCGTTGCAATGGTTCCTCGCACCTGGCGGCAAAGTCTGGGTTGTATCAGAGCTTTATGTAGGCCGACAAGTTGTGGCTGGCTTTTTTGAGACGGTGCTAGGGATGGGTTTTGAAATTGAGTCAATCTCCGAGCGAGATCTGGCGGCATATATGGATTGCGGCATTGAGATAAGGAGAGAGTGGGTGCCTGGGCGGGAGAGCGATGACTCAGAGAGCTGGAGACGATGGTGCGTGGTTGCCATATTAAAATGGGATGCTCGATTCTGACGCCAACAATCAACTTGATTCCTCGAGTGAGCCTCTTGTATAATGTCCAGTGGCTTTGTAAACTGCTTTGCTAGAGGTACGGAGTTGTCAACCGTAGATACACGCGGTCGGTCGATGATGAGAAGCATTAAATTTTCATGCCAGTGTAGAAGTTCATCGGGTATTTTCCAGCTGCTAATTGCCCTCGCAGGCCTGGGTATACGTATTTTAATCCGCCCGGAAGATGCAGGGCATGCTGGAAAGGTTTAGAAGATAACGAAATTAATTTGCGTGGTAGCAGTGTGGCGCACAGCTACACCCCTGTGGGTGCTACGTAGGCTGGGATATCGCTAAGCTTGAGCAACAAAACATGGTGTCCAGGCAAATGCGGATAATTTCAGCTACGTAGACAACGCCAAGTCGAAACACCTCTGCAGAGACCGTAACATTTAAGTGTATTTTTGAGTTTTTGGGCGGTTGGATCCCTGTCCGAATCTACCAGCAGGTCGGCCCCCTCGTCACAGCCGGCACCGCCAGCTTAATCCTGGTAATCATCATCACTCTCGTAATCATCTTCATTCTCATAATACACATAATTCTCGACGCTCCTGACGACACCGACACCGACAGTCCGATCCTTGTCACGGATGATGAAACGTCCAAGTGCGGGGCAGTCGCTGAAAGTCTCCATACACATGGGTTTGGAGGGAACGAGCTTGATCATAGCGGCATCACCCCGCTTGAGAAATTCAGGCGAGTCCTTGATGTGGCTGCCATTACGGCGGTCATTCATGTACAGCAATTCTGAGAACTCGCAGGCAATATGGGCAGTATAGCAGTCCACAATAGGGGTATAGCCAGCCCGAATCTGACCGGGATGATCCAGGACTATAACCTGAGCGGTAAAGGAAGCAACACGCTTCGGGGGATTATTTGTAGAATCACCAGCGATATGGCTACGGCATATATCCCCAGAGACATCTGTAATATTAAAGCCGACTATGTCACCCGCAGTGCCCTTATCAACCTGCTTGTGATGCATTTCAATAGACACCACTTGAGCAGTATTGTTAGTTGGGGCAAATGTTAGGTCCATGCCAGGCTTCATAACCCCGGTGATGATACGGCCGGTCGGCACAATACCGATCCCGGATATATTATAAACATCCCGGATGGGTAGACGTAAAGGCTTATCAGTAGCCCTGGGCGGGGGCACGATGCTTTCAATGGCGTCAAGTAGGGTTTTAACCTTGACCACACCGTCCTTGGTTTCTCTCGTCCCTCCCCTGAACCAGCTCAAGTGAATAGACTCCTCCAACATGTTGTCACCGCCGTAGCCGGAAATAGGGGTAAATGCCGCTGTCCGAGGATTGTAGCCAACCTTTCTGAGAAGGGAGGAGATATCCTTGATAATATAATCAAAGCGAACCTCACTCCATCCAATAGTATCCATCTTATTCACAGCTACAATGATCTGGCGGACCCCTAGAGTAAACGCATGTAGAAGGTGCTGGCAAGTTTGGCCACTCGGATGTATGCTATCCTCGTACTCGCCGGTAGCAGCAGAAATGACGAGGATAGCGAAGTCGGCCTGTGAGGCACCAGTGATCATGTTCTTGGTATAGTCATGATGGCCAGGAGCGTCTATCACGGTGGGTTAGGACATGATAATCCAGCAGACTAGGACAATTGCTTACCAATGACAGTGATTAAAGTTCTCTTAGCCTCAAAGCACTCGATCCCAATGTCAATAGTAATCTCACGCTCACGCTCAGCCTTCAGCTTATCAAGGACCCATGCGTACTTGAACGACGCCTTGCCTTGATCAGCGGTTTCCTGTGGGTGGTTATCATCTTGTCTGGTAAAGCATGCCAAATATTCAAAAACAAGAGAAGCGTACCTGCTCGAACTTCTGTATGGTTCTCTTGGAGATCGCGCCGCACTTATGTAAGAGGTGACCTACATCAGGAAAGTGAGCAAGTTATATGGCAGATGGAGCGGCATGGACTGTCCAGCATACCAGCGGTGGTTGATTTGCCAGAATTGACGGCGCCGATAAAGACGGCGCTGAGATGATTATTAGTGCGACTGCAGGTAATTAATGTTAACATAGATGGCAGGCGAGATGAAGTGAAGTTTTAGGGGAGGACGTACGTCGTCATCTCGACGTGTGTTTTTTATTTTATTTTATTTATTTATTTATATATATATTTTTTTTTTTGGAAAATACAAAAGATTCTCGAGGATGTTTGCTCAGATATGTATCATATAAGACAGAACGCGCGTGGATGTGCAAGAGCAGGAATGTTATTAGGATAAATAAATATGGAAGCATACAGGGAATTTGGGTGCCTGCTGCTCAAACTAGTTAGTTACATTGATTGGAACTTACGTCAAAAAACCAAAACAAGCAAGTACAGATTTACAACTTTTTTTTTTTTTTTTGCAACTACTGTATTGGACACTTAGTGAAGTTATTACGCGTAAGCTGGGCGTCACAGAGAATCATGGCAAGCTGAGTGATGGGCAATCTGCAGAATTGTGGGGCAGTCATGCAGAATCATGGCGAGCTGAATGACTGGCGAGCTGAATGACTGACGATCAGTCTCGGTGTTACGGACATAGGGCGGAACGCATGTATACATATTAGACAAGCACCGAAGGTCTACTGGCACTAGGCCGAAGTAGTAATAGTGCGGTCGTAACCCGTTTAGGTATATGGCCGCCTGGAGCGGGCACGTGACCCCGACATTCTGTTAGTACCCACCGGGTCACGTGTTTGACCGCCCTCGCTTTCTGCCCAGTAGACATAGCTAGCCTGAGCCGATAGGCACCCAATCCAACCAACTATCCACACACACCAAAACATTCCTTAGGGAGACCGCTGGGCGAACGTTAGAGAGACCAGCGTTCAGTCTAATCACCAATGGGACTGGCTATTACTACCGAAGTTGTTACATACATATACTACCTCCATATACACTCTATCACGCTTCTACCATAGTTTACCCCCGCCGGGTGAACGACCAGTTTAACACAATGTAACAGTGAGAAGGTAACAAATCTTCCTTTGCATTTGCAATACTATATATGGGGAAACCTGAGTTCAGGAGAAAACCTATATCAGAGTGCCACTAGTTTTCACTGGCTGGCAGCGTAGTATTGCACCTTTTGTGTTAGAAGCTCTGTGATCGCGTCCCGGAAAAGCCTGGTTTATACCTAGGTAGGAAATCCGACATTAGAAACAATTTCATTGTGGCTCTGATACCATATAAATATATTTTTCAGTTCCCACGAGGTGAAAGAAATGTAAGAACTAACGCAACATCCCAGGTATGCTGAGCCAATTGGGAAATTGTTATTTGTTGTACCATTCAGAAACAGACCGGACTTTGATCTTTGAGAGCTCTGGGTGCGAGAATCTCACCAGTTTGAGTACTTTTCAGTCGCTGTCAGACTGGGCAGTGCCATTTCTCGTTAGGTTGTGTGAGGAAAATAGTAACTTGTTGGAGGAATCTCAAAATGCAATTTACAACCTGAATCAGAAGGCACCTCTCATGGACGGGCCAAGTAGCCTGTGAATTGATAGACTGGTAAGCTCTTGGAGTAGCCAACACATACAGTTCACCTCTTGCTCGGCGCAGATTCATGGATGAACACAATATTGGATCCTAGTTGGAGATGCCGTCCATATCAGAAACCCATGGGATTAGATTTGCGAAGTCCACATGCGTTAGCTAGAGAGATACCGGCTGAGCATTACTAGTGCGATAAAATATGCTGTAGTCATTTTTGCCTCTGGACCTTACTATCCAGTATCCAATCAATGGGTTTAATCAATGATTGCTCAGACAATATTTGCCATATGAGCTCGGGGCCAGAAATTTAATCACTTCCCACTGCCGCCATTTGGATAGCATTTCCGTCTAAATAAAAATTCTCAGTGAGCCCTAAAGCACGATGGTATACTGGTGTCTCAGCTGAAAAAGTCAGGGGATCAGCAGGCGTCAGCAGGCGCCACCGCGCACGGTGGGATCGAGGCAGAGAACAAATCAGATGGATCCATTGATCATGCAATCAAAACGCGAGCTAAAATGGAATACATACATATATTTTCAGCTCCCCCACCCAACTGAACTGATCTACAAATGACGTAAGCCACTTCAGCTCTCAGCAATTCGCAATCTGTCTAACCCCATACAATCAATAACGATAAAAGTCCATGAAATTAGAGAGTACACCATTGGACTCGTCTCGTTTGTGTTGTGGGTCTCCGACGAGACGAATACTTGCGGCGTCGCCCGCCAACCACTCTTTTAAATCATCATTTATCAACCACCACCATGCCTAAAACATGCGTACAAACTGAGTATCAGCTTCAAGATGCTATTGTCGTGTACAAACACGCTCAGAATCCCAAAATTGATAGTTACAGGTGATAGTCATCTACAGTAGCTGAATACATAGGCCGCTACATTAGTTCTTCTGCAATGCAACGCCAAGTCATACGTATGTGAAACGGAGTTGCCGATGGGGCATATTTCAGCTAATAGATATGTATAAAATATCACCTATCTCTCGCCTTCCTTGCAATTTTCTTCAATCGTCTAGAATAACATCATTTTATTCTTTTCTACCACACCTTTGTTGAAAATGTCCCACGAGTCCTCATCTACCGAACCTGTCAGCTTTGTGGATGCCTCTGTGCATCCTAAGGAAATCATGCCGACTGCAGCGTACACAGTCCAGTACATCATGAATGTGGAACTTCAAAGTAAAGATGGAACCGACATTCCTCTTTACAATAAGCATCTTGATGTGGAAGAAAGTTCCATTTTTCACCTATATCTTGGACAACGGTACGGCGACAAGTCCGAACGTTTTAATGAAGAAAAAGAGGACTATTGGCTGTTTCACATTCATTCAAACCATGCTGAGTTCGAAATCGCGATTGGAGGAGAGGCGCCAGTTCTAGTGAGCGCAAATCCCAGCTATAAAAAGATTACCGACAAAGACAGCAAGACCGTTGAATTAGATATGCCTGTCAAGGGACATCCGGTTTATGATACGGTAATTCATCGATTCAAATTGTCGTATAACTTTCCAGCTGAGACAGACGGGTATTTTGATCGATTTGTGGCTGTCCGATGTCCTAAAATGGACAACCCAGCGATTACAGTGAAAGGCGCAGGACATTATGCTTGCCTTCACTGGGTTGGCCGGTTTATTGAAACGACTGCTAGTGACACCAACAAGTTTATTGCGGTGAGAACTACCAACCGATTGCTTGAGGATTATGGCGAACGCAACAGGAACAAAGGTTATAGTTGGTTTCGTGAGGATGGTCCTGCCGACGTGACTGACCGCACTGTCACCCTCTTCCCCAAACAGCTGTACGGCACCCACGGCAGTGACAGAAATCTATACACTCAGTTTGTCACCACCGACCCGAATAATAAAATGGGCCAAGAGCACCTTGACTTGGTCCGCAGTAAAGTTGCAAAAGGCTCTGCATTACTGGCATACAAATACGTGTGGCATGCAACTGGCAAAACCATAGTGAGGACCACTTGTGAAAATGGCCTTCCGTATCTTGGTCATCAATGGGATTATGTCTCAGGGGTTTCCTTGAACCAGAATCCATCAAATGGCTGGGCTATACTGCTCACTGTCTTCACGAGTATAACCAAAGTTGCAACTGGTTTGCTCACTAGCAACCTCGGTGGGATAGTTGAGGGTGTTATCAAACTTGGGGATATATTTGACGGGGACAAAATGAGGAAAGAGGCCAATATAACAGGCTTTGTCTCAGCAGCTGCCAAGGCAGTGGACGAGTACAACAAGAAGAACCCAGATAAGAAAAAAGGACCTAACACGACCAATGTCATTGATATCCAGCAAAATATCACGAAAAACAAGGTTCTGGCTGCCCACTTTGGCACAGCCTAGCAAGATGACCCACCTGATCGCCTACCTTCTTGGCTATTATCAACATACAGCATCCGGGAGGATCCTGCATCATCAGGTCTGCCAGAGGGCTATACTGTAGCTATAGCATGATACAAACATAGGAATTACCTGGGGCTTGAGGATAGGGTTGACAGAATTCTTGTCTGGGTCTAAATAGCTCTGAGACCTCAAAATCTCAATGTTTTCTTGTTAAATGGATTCATTTATCTTTCGCCTCGAAAATATCTCAGGCTTATCTTTTGATCATGGCCTTCATGTAGTTAAGAGACATTGGATAGGTCATTGATTAGTTAATTTCGTCTCTTGATCTTTTTCTATTCCTTTTTCGCCGTACTTGTAATGTTAAAGGCTAAGCCCAGATTGCTAATGACTAGCTATAACACAAGAGATTTCGTTGAAGAGGAAAGGAATGAATGCCCGATCGGGCGGCTCTATATACACGCGTACGCCATGCGGGTCGTCCTCCTTACTAATCATATCGCTTATGCGACAGGCGCAGCCTGTGACAGGTAACATACAACAAGTTTTGTGACCTTACAAATGAGTACAATACTTATGAGAGCAGGGATAATATTGAAGGTAATCAAATATGGACTGGCGTGTTGCACGGTAGGGGTTGGGAAACAAACCAAGAGTGTTTGGGGGGTAAGCTGATTTCGTGAACTACTGTACGACCACTTGAGGTAGAAATTTCTATACTTGTAGGCGGCAATGGTGGCACTTTGACAAATATACCGATGTTTGTCACTGACTGGGGGATGAGGCCGAAATAACAGTAAGTGGAAGATTTTTCAGTCGAACCTGCTTCTTGACCAAAGTAGCAGAGAAATCTAATTTCATCTATTCATTGTCAAAGCTGCTGGTTGAATTTGGTATTGTTCAAATATACCATTTCACTATATTTTGTCTGCATAGAGCCTCCATTGTCTTTCCCTCCTCGGCGCCACTTGATTGGGAACGCGTACATAGCATATATCAATCAAAATCATTTTAGATCATTCCTCCATCTTTGCCACCACCCGATGAAATTCCCCAAAGACTAATATATCTTTGCTCAGAATCACGGAGCCTCGTAGTCACTTGAATAAGGGCGTCTTCCAACTAGTGAAACACTCCAAAAAATTTCCTCCCAGAAGTATAGCAGGGCTTGCTTGGACTCTTTTTGCCATTGCAGTTCAGCCTTGAGGTAGCTGGCCTCATATGCGAGTTCCTTGATTTGTTGACGAAGGTCTGTAGATGCTTGTTTCAACTGCTGCAACCGGGAGGTGTGACGGCTCAACGGCTCAACGGCTCAACGGCAGACAAACAGCGCCAACATATCAAACGATGCCATACAAGCAATATGGGCAAACAAGGGCTTAAGCCGCACCACACAAGTGCCTATAAAGACCGTTCATCGCCTAGATAGATTTCCTTTTCTTCTTCTTCCCCAGATTCGATATTCTCGTTGATGGCTACAATAGTCTAGATAGGAATTCAGTTCGTTATTATCTTCTATTCCGAGCCCGTGACAGGAGGGAAGTCTTTCAAGGCTGGATGACGTGCCACCACAGCGTAGAATCTTGTGATCCGCAGGAGAGATTTCTTCTGAAATGGGCTCAAGGGAGCAGCGGGAAAACAACTGCGACTGCATTTTTCTCAGGACAATAACAAGGCCTGTTCTGTGGCAATACCAGAGCTAATGTCACAGGCTGCGCCTGTCGCATAAGCGATATGTTTAGTCAGGACGGAGAGGTTATCGGAGGAACTATTTACCCGCACTGCGCGCGCATGTATATAGAGCCGCCCGATCGGGCATTTATTCCTCTTTTCCCCCAACGAAATCTTTTGTGCCAAAGCTAGTCATTAGCATTTCCGAGCCTGGCCCTTAATGATATTAGTCTCCCCCGAAATAAAGCTTAAGGGGAAGCACTGGCCCCAGAATGGTCGCTGGACATTCTTGAAAGGCACAATTTTAAGGAGCTCTCTGTCTGGTGCGCGAGCACCAACCAATGGATTGACGGTTTGGCAGTAAGTTCCGTTGATATCTTAGTGCCAGACGCCAACATGGGGGTTCGGGTATCTGCCGAAACCACAGAATTAATACCAGCTGACTCTGAAATTTACTTGACGACGGTTCAAAGCAGAAATAAATGTTATGCAAATCAATCTCCTGTCACGGAGACCTCTCTTCCAAGGGGATGACAGCAGAGGCCCCAAAGGCCAACAGCCTCAACACAGTCTTATGAAAATAAGGCAGATTTCTTTTTGCTGAAGAAAGAACTCAATGGCATGAAGAATAGAGTAGGTAGCAACTTACCCCTGATGGAGATGCTCTCCTATTCTGACGTTATCCTGTTAGATGTTCGCCGGCCAGAACTTTATAGAACCAACAAGAATGGCGAGTTGGGTGCAGGACCCAAAGCACCCTGGAAGAGCACTGCAAGCAACCAAGGCAGCCATTGGGGTATGACATTAAGCGCCTCCTTTAAAATTATAACCTCCAATGTCCGAAAGGTGCTGGAGACTGAAAGCAAACTTCATGCCCAAAATCTACCCGTGGAATTCCTCCCAGGTGGACTGGGACCCATCGCCCGCAATATCTAAATTTGACGGCATTCAAGTGGGACCAAAGCCCGCAGATGGAGGATTCAGTGACTGTCAAATTTTGTTCCCGAATACAGAAGCAAAATCTTCGCCATTTTCTCGATTTGTACGGAGTAATCACTGACCATACCATGCAGAAGCACCCGAGATGCGATGAGGCTCACTCAGTTTAAGGCACTTCCAGACAGAAGTGAAGCAATAAAAAGGTCTAGATACCAATTATGGGGATAAGATAGTTCTAATTCATTCGCTGCGCGCCCTGGGAAAGCCTTTGGCCCTACTTCTGGTGGTAAACCGGAGACATTCAAACCACTTCACATGTCCAGACTTCGCGAAGCAATTTTAGCTAACGCGGGCTGCAGCCTATACACTGTCGCACCCTAACGACAATGGCAATCCATTTACTAGGAAATGGCAAATCAGGGCTGCATACTTCAATCTGCAGTCAAAGCATTCTTGCCTAGGTGTCATCGCAACTTCAAAATCTGGTTTTAACACATTACTTGGCGTTTTCTATAAAACAGAAGCACGATACACTTACGGTCAACGGTTCGTCAGGTTTACAATATAGTCAAGTGCCATTCTGGGCATCTCTCCATGTCTTTTTTCTGGGTGGGCTCAGAGATACAGTCGAGTATGTGGGTGGTATGAACAGCGGTTTTGGTTTTGTGTATCTCGAAAAGGTACCTAGTGCTGAAGACGCCCCAAGGGTGGGTTCTATCTGAGAAGATATCTAGGAGCTAGGAAATATCTGGCAAACAGAATTACGATGATATAATTCTCCAAGAGCCCATATGAGCAATAATAATGTATGCTATCATATACAAGCAAGCCGCTCCATTTAACCAAGTAATATCGTAGACACAAGCACGGATCAAAAAAACCAAAGCAACAGCCCAACAAAACACCGAGATATTCACCATACCCTCAATTACCAAACGGCCCTCCCCAACCCATCTCAAAAGCCAGCACATCAATGGAATCTTCCGTAATTGGTCGTGCCTATTCTGGGGGGCAGTGATCCTCTGCGGCACGGGAGAATCCAACGAGACATCTCAACAGTTAGTTAGCTTTGCTTTGTGGACTAGATGGGTTGGAAAGATATGAGGTGGACATACATCTTAGAGGTACTCTTCTCGAAGAATGTGTGCTCAGTAGGAGGATCGATGAAAACGTATCCCTTTTGTCGCATGTGTCTGTTTCCCCGAAAACAAAATCAGTCCCTTCTGTACCTCATTCAATAGTAGAGATATGGCGTATCCTTACTCCAACACACCAACAAGCTGCCCACGAATTATCCCATAGTCCTTCTCGCTCAAATCCTCAAAAGTCTCCACCACACTTTCTCCCCGCGCCCTAGACATCACAATCGCACGTAAATATCCATCTGGAAACGGGTCCAACAGCCCCTGAACCAATTCATCAACGGCGAACAGACGAGGAATGGTGTCGATCTCCTGGCATGCAGATAGCGCGTTGTGTTCATCGTCGAAATTCTCTTTTGAGACACGGGCTAGGCTTTGGCGGAGGGAGGAGGGTTGTTTTTTGTTGCTTAGTCTGGGGTTGTTGGTGGTTTTGGTTCTGGCTGCTGATTATGGTGGTAGGATTTGTTGGGAGTTTGGCTTACTGATATCGTAGTTTCAAGATGACTGTCTCATTTTGTGCTGTTATTCCTTCAAATACTCCCAGTCGTTCGTTGAAGTCAGACTGGAGTTTTTTCAGAGAGGATATCGGTGATAGTAATCGCCAGTCCGTTGACTGTGACTACATTCCCGATGAATTTGTCCAAGGTGATACCGTCTGGGAACCGGTAGTCGTCCATATTTGCCGGCGTTGGAAGTAGTGTTGGTGTTTTAGGTCGTTTTGGTTGACATTCGCCTTATATTGAGATCTTGGAGTACCGTGGCCTAAGGCTATTCTTTCTCTTTTAGGCAACACTATATTGAGCATCGCAAGTAATGGGCAAGGAAAAGAGCATTATGTTAGACAGCCCTATTTAGACAATATCAAGTGCTCGATTCTCAATACTGAATCCCTCACCTAAATGCACTCACTTCCTCACAGTAACAACAGCCTTCTCATAACACCCCTCAACAACTTTCCCAACATCCTCCCTCTCCCCGTTCACAGCCCACTCCGCAACCCTCTCCAACACAACCCGACTCTCCCTCTCAATCGGCGTAAAATGACCCGACCTTGGCAACTCAACAACCTGGCTCCTGCCAACCATGTAATCCGAAATACCCCCAAGACACAAATGCGGTTCCAGCGCCCGGTCATTCTTACCCCAGATAATCGTCGACGAAGCCTTGAGCACGCCCGCGGGACTTTCATCGAACATACCTGCTCCGCTGCTCGCGCGGCGGAGCTCGTTTCCTTGGGAGATTGTGTGTATGTTTGCGACTGTTTCGACGGATTTGTGCCACCGGCGCGTTACTGCGCCGTCGCGGTAGTAGCTGGCCATGTGGTGGAAGTTGCTGAGGGCGCGTTCGTTTTTCACGGTTGTGGGGTATTCTTCTCCCGAGGGTGTTTTGGTGTTGCATTCTGCTTGTGAGGGGCCCATGGTGCTGGCCATGCATTCTGCGGCGTCTTGGGGTGTGAAGGCTTTGTTGTCTTTGCCGTAGGAGCCTCTGTGGATCAGGCGGAGGAAGCAGTAATTGCGGCCTGTGCCGAGGTATTGAACGAAGACCATGGGGAGTAGCATGACGAAGATGTAGCCTGAGAGGAGGGTTTGGATGAGGACTGGTTTTAGGGTTTTGATGGCTTTGAGCAGCGTAGATCGCGAACGGATGGGTGAGTAGATGGATGACTTGAACATCTTGATCGACGAATTGATCAGACGGCGGGCATTAGAGAGCGCCAAACCGATCTATCCTTGTTAGCCATTGACACCTTCAAAGCCATCATAAAGGGTAGAGAATACCAATGGCCCATTACTCAAAACAAACCGATCCGCCAAAACCGACGCCTCACTCGCCAACCGCATACTCAACGCACACCCCCAATCATGTCCCACAATAACCGTCCTCTGCACACCAACCCCAATATACTCCCCATCAATCCCATACCTGGCCCTCACGCCAACCACAAAATTCGCCAAGTTATCCAGGACCTCTGTCGCCGTGTATTTCTCCAATTGGTCGCTTCCGCCGTAGCCCGGTAAGTCGACGGCCACCACGGTAGCGGCTTCCTGGAGCGATTGGGAGCTAATGATATTTCGCCAGACAGCCCAGCTATCAGGAAATCCGTGGATGAGGATGATTAGCGGTTTAGTCGCGGGTTTTGGCGTTTCAGGCGTGGCCTCATTACAGAGGTAATGGAATCGGAAACCATTGCTGAGAGTCAGGAATTGGTGCGTAAAATCATTCCATTCTTTGGACAGATTCCAGAGGCGGTCGCGAGCTGTACAATATTTAGCAATTGCAATAGCGATGGCTGTCTTTCATGTGAAAGCGGGACGCAACGTCATACCCAACTGCAGCTCCAAATTCTCCTTTTCCGACAGTCCTTTGAAGAAATAACCATGTCGTATCGCTAGCAAACCATACAGAAACATTGTGAAGAGTCCATAGCCAAAAGACGCGGCCGACAGCAGTCGGCTGGCTATGGTATTGAGGACGCTGCTCATACTCTTGCGATCAGATGATGTAGTTGCAGGTAACCAATGGTGGTGGTAACCAGCGGCGCTGTATAATATTTTAGAGTAAGACAAGTTTAGAGTAAAGAGGTCTATATTAGAGAATTGACAATGGTTGATTCGAAGTAGAAGCTCAGAGAAAAAGAGGAGATGAGACAAGGCGAGCTCATTGTTTGCGCGCTTCGGGCGTCATGGCAGCTTTGCCGCCACAGATTAGCCGCGCTGATATCAACGGTTCTGGCATCACGGTCCACAAGGGCACGTTTTGCATGGATTGTTACATAAAACGCAGCCCAACAGGCAATGACACCTGAAGATAGTCATGGTTGAGAAAAGGGTATTTAGATAAAACACTAGACGAACTCCAACAACCAATATGTACACAGAAGAAACGAGAAACTAAAACCAGTAGAAACATGGAAGCGCCTGCGAAATGCACATTAAAGGACAAATCCCAGTTTGTCGCGATTGTCATCGATTAACCTCCCATACCTGCAAACAACCAGTTAGCAACTGTTATCGTTAAGATGTTTAGGGTGGGAGGGACATACTCTAGCAATAACCGGAAGAACCAAACCTCAAAGTCCTCGTTTCGTAACACATCCTTCGCCCACCGTTGACCCTGCTGTGCAATCCGGGGAGCCGCACCCTGGCCTTCCTCCTCAGCCGTGAAAAACCGCATCGTCTCGACATAATCGTCGCCCCGCAAACCCAACGGCACATAATGCACCCACGGCTTGATCCATTCATCGTGCCATTCGCGGAAGATGGCGATCTTAGCGACCAAGCTATTACTCTGCAAAAACGCGTAGTACCGACCACTAAAGGCGTTTCCATCAATGTCGACTATGTACTTGTATCCCCAGGCATCCTGTTGACCGGCATGTTTCGCCACGTCAAAGTATTCCCCTTGTGCGGCGCAGTCTTCGGGGTCGCATTGTCCGATGAACGTGAACTTGACATCAAATAGGTCACGGTAATCGCGGCGGTTAACTTCCTTCGACGCCCAGGCACCGTTCTCATCCCGAGATAGAGCCTTGGTCGTGTCCAGCGCATTGGCGTTACTGACAAAAAGCTGGCGATGCTGTCGTCGCCAACCACCCGCACGCGAGAACCCACCGGTCGTTGATCCTCTCCAGTACAATTTGTCCAGCTTTGAGTCCCACTCATAATCTTTCCTTCCTTCGTACGGAACTTTGTCCGCCCAATACCAAGGACTGGGATAGACAATGTCCTGGAAACTGGAGATCTTGCTCTGCGAGAACACCGGGAACAGGTCGTGAACAATATCAAAGGCATTGGGCCGATCGAAGAAGCCGTAGGTGTAGCGAAGCGACGGCGTATTGCAGATATCCGAGGCCGCTGTGGTATTATAGATAAACCCAAGCTCTCCGTACGCGTAGGCAGTGGTATTATCAACGGGATTCTCTTCGAGCGAGCGGGCAGGACTATTCGCGGGACAAGATATTCTCGAGTGCGTCCACGTCGGCTGATGCGCGAACCGATTGAACCGCGTCGTACGAACTTCGTCAATGCGATCACCCTTGTTCACATCGGTCGGTCTAGGCGACCACGAATTCACCGGAGACCGGTTCCCAAACGACTCAGGAATCGCACGGTCCTTGGCGGAATTGACCAACCGCTGGAGATCGTCGCTGGGCAAAACGACACGGGGCTCGTCGTGGAGGTTGAAGACAAGATCCATATCAGGCAGATACTGAATGAACCCCTTCATCATGCCAATCGTAGCCTCCCGCTGCCACTTATACCCATCACCACCACCGTCTGCCAAAGTAACCTTACCCCCGCGAATAAGAATCCCCATCATCTGGTTATCAAACCCGAGAGCCTCCCTCGCGCGCGCTCGAACAGTCCGCGGCTCCAGCGCCCAGAACGGCAGAAGCGAGTGGTAAATCGTATCGTATTCATCAATCATCTTCACTCCTTTAGCCTGGGCGAACTCGAACCACTTGTCGAAATGCGGCGGAGGGTGCATATTGTAGCGACGCTGGTATTCCCGCACGGCATCCTGCAACGTCTGGGACTGGCGCGATCGCGTCTGGTCGAACTGCTGGTCTGCATTGTGGATCAGTTGGGCGACGGGGTGTGTTTTTTCGGGAGGGTAGGAGCTCTGCTGAGCGGCTTGGTGGTAGTATTCGATTGGTTTCAGTGGTGTAGGGGGTGTGGCTTGAGGGCGACTCGGGATCGGGGGTGTTTTCGGTTTTCGTTCACGGAGGAGAGTAAGTGAGAAGCAGGCGACAATGAAGACTCCCAGCAGGATCGCTACTCGTTGGAGCCGCATCCTGCCATTAGGTGAGGTGGTAACAGTCGTTGTGGCGGTTGTTGTTTAGGTGGGTTGTTGGTACATGGACGAAGGAGGGGAACTGGCAACAAGAGAAAATAGACAGATGAGAGGCATGAATAGAAGAAAAGAGCCTCTACCTGTGGAAGAGATTTAAGGAAACTAAACCCCGTTCAGAAGGTAGAATGGAGAAGGGGAGAGGGAGAGAAACACGAAGGGAAATGGAGCCAAGAGGAATCCATCCCAATCAAGGAAGTCTCCAGGTGACCTCACCCGTCCAAGAAAGATTACGCTGCCAGTCGTCTTACACTGTCCAATTCGGCTCTTTTATTTATAGTACCCGCAGCCTTATTCTTCCATGCGAGTAAAATGTCTTTTCCGTCAGCCTTATGAGCTATCCGGATCCGTCGCTAACTGGTTCCCCATGCGAATAACAACTAAAAGAACAGCTATCCACTATTGTACGCACCACGTTTAACAACACCAAAGCGACCACACCACGTTAATCCCGAAACAACCCACTGTCTCGAGCACAAAGGCCTGTGCCTGTGCCACATGGGCATACGCCGCCAAACAAAACACTCCCACCAATGCCACATGCGCAATGTAAAACCGTTGTCGCTTGCCCTTCGCCGATGCGCCCGCCGGCCATATACTCAATCCTCGCCTTACTCCTACAAACGGTCTTATCAACACGAATATCACCAGAACAGCCGACCACACAGCACCAATACCCCACTGGACGTCTGGATCCCGCAGTCGCTTAGCCAGTAATGAACTAAATTCCGGGCGAGGAGACGCCGATTGTAAGAAGAATCCGAAGTATAGAACGGCGTGGCCCAGTAAGAGCGGAGCGAGAACGAGTCTACCGCAGATACGGTGGTAGGGGTTTAGGAATGGTTGCGGGAGGGAGGTCAGGGATGAAATAATCGAGGGAGCGCCCGGTTTAGAGGTCGAGAGATATAATGCCGGCGAGAGGAGCACCTGCATCGGTAGCTGGGACATGCCGATTTGGCCCAGGGCCTTGGTCAGATGGAGGTAGTCTGTTTAGAAACAAGAGTTCAGCGGAATTGCATCCGCTATAGCCATCGATCTCATGGATTGGAGCTCCCGCGCGGTCTCATGGGATTGTAGTAGAGCAATGTTCACCTACCATCGCCAGTCTTCAATGCGGATAAACCCAACAGCCATCCCAGCCAGATCAAGCAAACGGCATATTGCTTTCGCGTCTCAGTCCATCCGGGAAACGGTGGCCGATCCCACCAGGGTTGGTCTCTGCGCCGGGACCGTTGCTTTACGGCACCCTCAGTAGCTTTAAAGTAGCTTTGGTAGATGCGAATCGCGCAAATCACCACCAACACGGAGAATTGAGCAACATATCCGCGGAGATCCAAGAGTTCGCGACGCTGCTGCTTATCAGGAGCAGACACCGGCGTAAAGTGCCAGGGCCATGTTAATGACATTGGGTCCAGACAGCAGTCAAAGATGGAATAAGCAGGAGAAATGGTCAATTGTCCAACGCGCATAAAGATATTAATAATAGCACTATTTATGATATGCATAAGTCACATGATTCTGCACAAGTTTGAATATTGTCCATCACTCTTTTGAACTGTTTATATAGGAAATCAAATTTACATTAATTAAAAGTGTGCCATGAAGCATTTCATCACTGATCAAATGCGAACTATGTATCTAAACCGACAAGCGGGTCCTCCCTTTCGTGGCGCAGGATGGTGTCAACATATTCATTCCTTCCCATGCCGTAGCCGTTCCGTTTCTTTATATCTTTTTTTTTTCTACATGCTGATAAACGGTGATGCTTACGGCGAGGTTTGCATGTTCTCCTCTGGGGGGCCGGCAGCGGTCGTAGCGAAGTACCGCACATCAACATCCTCATCCTCCTGCAGCTTTTCCAGGTTTGGCAGGATCCGTTGCTGGATGAGTTCCTGGCCCCGCGGCGAGGGCGTGCCAGTTTCGCCGGATTTCTCCAGGTCGGTCAGGGTCCCCTCGGCCGGCAGGCGGCGCAATGTGTCGATCAGCACGGCGTACGACTTGGCAACATTAAACCGAATGTTCGGGATCTCGTCTGCTGTGAGTCGGTCCATGATGGGGATAATCGAATTTTCAGTGATGTCCAGAGAAACAACAGGTGCAAGGGTCTAATATTTAGTCAGTAGCTGAACCTTACGCACCAAGGGTTAGAATCTACTCACGGAGATTGCAAAGCAGGTTGTCATTCTGTAGAGGTAGTTGGGGTGTTGTCCCATGGCCATGACCTTGGGAATAATCGAGCCCTGGGCCCATTCGATTCCGAATACCTCGGTCAACTTTCTCAAGTTGGTGGTAGCGGCCTCACGAATGGAGAAGACGGTGTCACCAAGCCACCCCATGCAAAGGTCACTAAGTTGCTCATCGAAGAACTTAACGCCCAGCTGGCTGGCAAGCAGGGGGATATATTCGATGATGGCAAGACGGACTCGCCATTGCTTGTCCTCGGCCAGTTGGACAATTGCGGGAAGAAGCGACTGAGACAGAAGATCAATGCCGATAACTGTAATGGTCAGAGATACGGATCATGTTAACTCAAGAGTAGGTTCCCTTACCCTTATTGACGTGCTCCAGCTTGGAAATGATGTGCAAACGGACGTCGGGGTATTCGTCCTTGAGCATTTGGAGGAACATCGGAAGGAGATGAGCAATAGTCCTGCACAAATTGTGAGAAGCCTGCGGCGATCAACATTGTGGGTGAGATGTCTACTAACTCTTCCTTTCCGAGAAGTGGCGAGAGACCGCTGATTTGCGTACCCAGAGCCGCGCGCACGTGTTGAGATGGGTCCGAAACAAGGTCTTCAACGCTAGTCATGATCTCATTAAGAAGGGTCTCCCGGTCAATCAGACTGCAGAAACCTAGTTCGGGTTTAGCGAGCATTCTCAATCGCGGACATGCAGAAAGAAATACCTGGGATCTGGCCGGCAATTGCGGTGCGGACTTCTGCTTCCGTATCCTTCAGGAGCTTAACGAATGAGGGCACCATGTCACGAGTGATCACTTCTTCGTGCACAGCATTAGCGATCTGTCGTGAAGGTTAGAGTCAGCTGAAAAATGCCACAGGGGAAGAGGGATAGCAGTAAGAATGCGAACCTTTTCATATCTGTCGGCGACCATATATCTGACTCTCCAGCTCTTATCCTCGAACAGGTTCCGCAGGGACGTCAACAGGACGCCGTGGCTGGGCTGTTGTTCCTTGGGAATTTCCTCTGCAATCGCAATAAGAATATCCACCGTAAGGAGACGCACGCTATCTTGGTCGTCACTGGCAAGGTACTGGAACAAGGGTATCATTTCTTCGATGACAACTGGCGTGTCCAATTCTTTGACAAACTTGGCGAGATTATTCGCCGCCTGTCGCCGCACCATCGGGGTCTCGTCGTGCACCAGCGCGCCGAAATATTGTCGAAGGCTTTGCTGCAGGGGCTGGGGCGCTTTCTTGTATGGGACGCAGTACAGACCGGTGGCGGATACTTTCGATGTGAACCAGTCCGCTTTCGATAGGCGAAGGACCATAGGGACGAAGTGCTCTTCGACTTGTTTTTCGGACAACTGCTCGCCGATCTTGCAGAGGGATTCGACCGCCTACCGCACCATCAACGTGAGTGTTTGAACAAGAACAGAAACCACAGAGCTCCTACCTTTTCCCGAACCAACGGCTCTTCAATAGCGGCCAGGTTCTCCAGGGGCGAAAGGAGAACATGCCCAAACTCCGGGCCGCCGACATATTCTGTGAAGTCACCGAGCTCGTCACTGAGTGCGGTCAGGACCTCGTCCTCGTCTTCCACGGAGTCTGGAACGGTGCATGTTAGACGTCTTCATGCGATCGACGGAATCCTGCTTCGACCACTAACCATCAAGGAATGGAATGAGCTCATCGCGAGTTCTCTCGGGACCGAGGGCCAACGCGATAGTAGAGAGGCGGTGAATGGCATTAAGGCGGAGGAGAACATCGTCGTGCTGGAAAGAGTTTAATTATCAAACGTGTCTTCAGAATCGATAGCACGCTACGGTTGACCATCACGGTACCTTTAACTCGTCAATGAGGACGGCGATAGGGTAGAGCTCGTCATTTTCGCCCTGACCCTCCATCGCGGATATTGTATATAGGTTCCGGAGATTGGAAGAAGCGACTAGGGAAGTTGGGTGAGGTGGTCGGAATCAACGACGACAGTACGGAATGATATCAGGCGATGCTGTTTAACCTAATACCACGCAGGCACGATGAATATTTTTTCGGTTCTTGTAGTTGATGAAGGTGAGATCGTCGAGGGAGGTTAAAAGAGAAATTAAGCGGATATCAGAGAGCCTATCTAAGCACCGGAGGGAGTTAGAATCATCAATACTGGTAGTAGTCGGTGAGGGGAGCAAGATGATATGGGAAGGGGATGTTGTCGGTGGTGAGCGAGACTCCCCGGAGCGAGGTTTCGTGGGGTTTGGGCCGCCGCAGAACACGGTCATAAGCAAGAAGGCATACCTCGAGACAATTGGGCTGGGGGTGTACAGCTCTCGAAGAACGACTTTTAGGGAGATATCAACGGCGGCAGGGAATAATGCTGCTGGGTTTCAGCCGCAAAAGGATGTTGCAAAGGCGAGCTGTCTGGTCAACGGGGTGAGGGAGGAGCTGTGGCTGGTGAGGGGGATGATGATACGGTATGGTATGGTAACTATCATACGGGTATGGTAACTTCGAGGAGGGGGATCTGTGGCGGTGCGATAAGTGGCTGTCCCGCGAGGGTCAAGCCCCAACGGACTTTCATGCGGACTCATCCATTGATTCTTTCTCTGCAAACCCGGTGCCAGCAGAACGTCAGTCCCGCTAAATAACGTGGAGATCGCTGAGGCTATTGTGATTATAGCTTAGCGTCTGGTCTCTCCATTTCTACCGCTTTCTCTTTGGACATTCCCCTTGCGCAAGTCCTGAAGGACCCCCCCCCTCACCATGCCCACCATCTCCGTCGACAAGGCCGCGCTCTTCAAGGAGCTCGGGCGCGAGTATGTGCTTGCATTTCCTTTAGTAGCCTTAGAGGCTTCTGCTAATTGCTACCGCTAGATACACTACGCAAGAGTTCGACGAGCTTTGCTTCGAATTCGGTGAGTCACTTTTATCACTTTTTTTCATCCTCTGCGGGGCTCGCGCTGACTGACTATTCTACTAGGCATTGAGCTCGATGAAGACGTAACACTCTCTCCCGCCATTTCCGAATGCCATTCTCGATACTAAGACTTCACAGACGACCGATACGGACCGCCCCGTTGTTGATGGCGTGCAGGAGCCGCCTCAACTCAAGATCGAAATCCCCGCAAACCGGTACGCATTTGGCAAGACTCTGAGATAACGGGAGGAGCGCATATACTGAGAGGGACTTGCAGATATGACATGCTGTGTTTCGAGGGTATTCAGCTCATGCTGAACATCTTCTTGGGCCGCAAGCCTATCCCCAACTACAGACTCGTTGAGCCGTCGAGTGGGCAGCTCGAGAAAATTGTGGTCAAGGAGGACGTGAGTGCAGTCAACATAGTCTGTCTACTATATCGCATACGCTAATGGACTGAGAAAGACCACGAAAGTCAGGCCGTATGTCTCCGGCGCGATTCTGCGCAATGTGAAGTTCGACCAGGCACGTTACGAATCGTTCATCGCTCTTCAAGATAAGCTTCACCAGAACCTCGCAAGACAAAGAACACTCGTCGCTATCGGTACCCACGACTTGGACACCATCCAGGGTCCTTTCACCTACAATGCTCTGCCTCCGAAGGACTTTAGCTTTGTTCCCTTGAACCAGACAAAGGAGCTGAACGGCGAAGAATTGATGGCTTTCTACGAGGTATGAGTTGGGCCAGAAGCAGGTGTGTGAAATGGATACTCATGGATCAACAGAAAGACAAGAACCTCGGAAAGTACCTTCACATTGTCCGCGACTCTCCCGTTTACCCTGTCATCCACGACTCGAACAACACCATCTGCTCTCTTCCGCCGATCATCAACGGTAACCACTCGAAGATCTCCGTCAACACGACAAACGTTTTCATCGAAATGACCGGACTGGACAAGACGAAGCTTGAGATTGTCAACAGGGTCATGGTTACCATGTTCTCCCAGTACACCACCGAGCCGTTCACGTGAGTGTCATCTGTTCTAGGTGGGTCGCGAAATGCTAATCCTTTTTCATAGCATCGAGCCCATTCAGATCGTTTCTGAGCACAACGGCGAGACTCGTGTTGTCCCAGATATTTCGCCCCGCACCACCCAAGCCGAGATCTCTTTCATCAACCAATGCTGCGGACTGAACCTCTCTGCGACTGAGATCAGCGACCTCCTGAAGAAGATGTCCTATGACGCAAGGCCTTCCGCGAACAACCCCGACCTCGTTGATGTCGACATTCCCCCGACCCGTGCGGACGTGCTCCACCAGGCTGATATCATGGAGGATGTTGCTATCGCCTACGGATTCAACAAGCTTCCCCGATCCTTCCCCAACATCTCCGGCACTATTGGCCAACCTCTCCCCATCAACAAGCTTTCCGACATCGTGAGAACAGAAGCCGCAATGGCCGGCTGGTCTGAGGCGCTTCCGTTGATTCTTTGCTCGCACGACGAGAACTTCGCTTGGCTCAACCGCAAGGATGATGGTAACACCGCCGTCAAGCTTGCCAACCCTAAGACCTTGGAATTCCAGGTTGTCCGTACCAGTCTTCTTCCCGGTCTCCTGAAGACCATCAGAGAAAACAAGCACCACACTGTGCCCATGAAGATCTTCGAAGTCAGTGATGTCGCTTTCAAGGACCTGGAGTTGGAGCGTAAGAGCCGTAACGAGCGCCACTTCGCGGCTGCATGGTACGGACGGACCAGTGGATTCGAAGTTGTGCACGGTCTCCTGGACCGGATGATGGCTATGCTTAAGAGCGCTTTCATCACTGCCGAGGAGGGTCTCGAGAGCACGGCAGCCAGCGACTCTCAATACTGGATTGAGGAACTTGATGGTAAGTTCATTTATTTTGGCTAATCAGCCGCGATAGGCCTATTTTGCTAACATACATAGACCCCACCTACTTCCCCGGCCACGCCGCCTCGGTCCACCTGCGCATTGGCGGAAAAGAGCACAACATCGGTACCTTTGGTATCCTGCACCCTACGGTGTTGGAGAAGTACGAGCTGAAGTACCCCGTCAGCACGCTGGAGCTCAACATTGAGACTTTCCTATGAGCAGAGGGTCGTCGATGATGTTTATTTATGATCATGGAGTAAATGATTTACAGAGATAGATGACATGAGTAAAATACCAAAATGGAGTGATTGTTTATGGATTATGACTCGATTTGTGCTTGTAGATACTGGGGATCCGCCAGCGGATCTATCTCCCATCACTAGTTCGGGAATCAGTCGTACCCCAGGTTTAACCCGAATATCATGTCTTACGATGTAGAGTAGGTATAGCAATCCACAGATTTTATTTCCCCAGGGTTCGTCACTTTCCCCGCTAAAGTACTAGGAAAAACCACTTTTGGAAACCGCTTTTGGAACCGATTTTGACTTTTATTCCGTTCGTAAAGGTAGTCGGACAGGTAGAGAAAAAAAGAAGAAAACTCGAGGAGATATAAAAAATAAAAGGAAATCGTTTATTTATTCAACCACATCAGAATTAACCCCAAATTTACTCCTGCGCAAAAGTCTCAGTACCAGCAGCAGCAGGGGCACCCTCCTGAGCCTCAACAGCCTGCTGCTCAGCAGCACGCTGCTGCTCGGCGAGCTGCTGGGCGGCGACGGCCTTGGCGCCGTAGTCCTGGCTCATGGGCTGCAGGATGGGCTGCTCCTCCTTGGGCTCGATGATGGTGACGGAGTCGGGGAGGGTCTTCTGGGGACCGGCCTTGCCTTCGGGGTCGGAACCGCGCATGATCTTGACCTTGATACCGAGGACACCCTGGCGGAGGAGGACGTGGCGGGTGGCCGAGTCGATGAATTCCTTGGCGGGGTGGCCAGAGTGGATCATGAAGCCGTCCTGTTTAGATTATTAGCATGAGTCCATGGTGTATTATCCGATTGCGCATCGCATCGCATCGCAAAACCAGGTCTCGAAAAGTAGGCGTAGACGTACAGTGAACTTCATGGACTTGGCGCGAGCAGCACGGAGCTTGCCCGAAACAACAACCTCGCAACCCTTAGCACCGCTCTCCATGATGAAACGGAGGACACCATAGCAGGCACGGCGGACGGCCAGACCGTTAAGCAGCTTGTAACGGAGGGACTCGCACTGAGCGACGGCGGAGAGACCACGGTTCTGGACCTTGGCGGCGTACAGGGAGACCGAGTTCTCGGGGAAGCGGAAACGCTTCTGAATGAGGGAGGTGAGCTCGCGGATGCGGCGGCCCTGCTCGCCCAGAACCTCCTGGGTGTGGGTGGCACGGACGACTGCGAGAAGCTGTTAGCTTCTGTATTCTCCAATGTTTGTATATTTCCGTCGCAATTAATCCTTTCCAGCAAGTTTTCCATCTCTTTTTCCTCCGTGTTTATTTTTCCATCCTCCATCAAAAAATCGCCCCTTCAACACAACTCCCGCTCCACCAATCCACAACCCCTACCATCCAATCCACAAAAACAATCTCAAAGAAAAGGCGAAAGAACGTACTGATGTCGGTAACGGTAGGAGTAACACGGACTTCGACACCCGAGTAACCCTCCTCAGCAAGCTCGCGCTGGAAGAACTCGTTCAACTCGGCGTAGAAGACACCGTCCGCCACGAACTTTCGGCGCTTCGACATAGCTCCCTGGACAGCAGCCATTTTGACGTTTCTTTTTTTGGCGTTTATTTAAAAAGGCGAAACGGCCGAGGATGAAGAGGGCGAGTTGGGCGTTAAAGGCGGTTCGAAGTGGTCGTGCCGTCGTTCGGTCAGATCAGTTTTGGAGGTTTAGGCGGTAGTGGGGAGTTTTTTTGGGAATAGGGTTTGTAATTGCCTATTTGGGACGGGGAGGGTTAACCCTCGCTTGTATGGGCGGGCGCTTTTCCGTTTTGGGTCGGTTATGTCTGCCTGGCGTTTTAGGCATAAAGATTACTAATCATGTAGACCTTCCATATCAACAGCTCGTAAGTTTTACATTCATCATACATGCCTCCAAAATAACCCGTATATCCTACTGCATTTCGACCTCCATCTCAGTCATCTTCCCACTCCCTTGTTCATTCTCCTTATTCTTTGGCGTAAAAGCCAAGTTCGAGATACCCGCCGACACGGCTGCCATCCCAGCCGACGCCGCATTCTGCGTCCCCTGACCAGACACACCACTGCCCACGGAACTGTGGGCCGTCTCAATACCAGTAACGACAGGAGCCCCGGACCCAGGAGTAGGTGGTGTAATGCTCTCCTGGACTGCAGCCGGGACAACGACAGGACCAAACGGACGGGGACCGTTCATCTCTGCGTCTGCACGACCAAACACCTCGTTCCACCAGCGGACTTCGTTCAGGCGCGGGAAGAGTAGGCGCTCTTTGCCACGCTTGTTGTCATCGATGGTGGGTTCGTATTGAGGGTTGAGGAATTGCTCTCGTCTGGCGAGGAAGTAGTCCCAGACGCTGCGTGTTCGTTCTTTAGCGCTTGTCTCGACACGCTCCTTTTCGCTGTTGAAGAGAAAAGTGCCGAATTGGCAGGAGTAGAGGTGGTAGAGCAACCGTCGTAGGAAGCGTTCGTTGAATTCGAATCGTGTAGGGTATTGGTGAAGTAGTTGGTATGTTGCGTCGAGGAACTGGTGGAATACCGGGCTCGTTTCCTTCACCTTGGTGACCTCCTTCTCGGATATGGGTGTTCGAGGTACAGAGCCGGCTCGTTTTCCAGGAGTCTCGCATTCATTGGTTGGGGTATCACCATCGGAATCGGGAAGGGAGTCGCGGCTGGTGTTATCCCGGTTGAAGAACCCCTTGGCACTTAGGAATGCGTTCTCGAGGGCTTTTCCTGCACCGCTACCCTCTCGGTTGGGATCACCTCCGATCCTCTCGTTCTCGATCTGGAACCATTTCTCGCTGTTCAAATGACCAGAACGATGGCGGAACATGTGACCGAATGAGAGCCAGTCTTTCTCAACGAGTACCATGAATCCTTCCAGCGTTCGATAGTAGGGATCAAGACACAATTGACTCAATGCACTCAGCTGGCTCGTGCGATCCCAGCCGTCCGAGCAATGAATCAGGACATGAGAATGGTTAAGCCCAACCTGACGCGCAATCAAGCCAGCGCCATCCAGGATTCCGGCGATATGCTTCAACCACCCACTCCGGGCAAGCAGGTCTCTATTAGGACCCAATGGGGCGATGTCTGAGTCTTTCAGCGCATCGACCACTTTATTCAACGAATCTCGCATCACATGGATGTTATCGATTCCCAGGTATGCCTTGGCTGCGAATTTATAATTGTCCATGTTCTCCGAACCCAGACCAACGGCCTGCATTGCAAAAGCATTAACCGTCGGCCGTGCATCGACAATCAGGTTCTGCTGCTGAGCGCCATAAACCTGACGCCCTTCCTCTGGATCCCCGCGAATGGACGCCAGCATTTCATCCTCGAGTTCTTCGGCATTCGTAGAGTCGGAATCAGACTGACCAGCAAATCCATCGCCTTGACTAAAGCTCGAAGACTCCGATTCTAAATTAGGCGTTTGCACATTTGCCAGCGGCCTCTCTGTACGTGATGTTGAAAAGATAGTCGCTAATAACTTCTCATCCTGAATACTCCGATTCTGCCGTACACCAACCAACGGCTGCGAACTTCTCGTAATCGAGCAGTTATTAACCGGATGTCGATACGTCAGTATAGGCACACGCGCTCTCGACCGATACCGTCCCGCGTAGTTTAACGTATTATCCGAGATAGCAGTAGGCACAGGTATAAGTGCAGGATAGGTTGGAGAGAACTGACAGTCAGCACGCATCCATCACATATAAACGGCGAGTCAAACATACCCCATAATCCGAATTAATCTGCGAAATGCGCCACCCATTCCCCTCTACATCCACACCCTGCCTTGCCCATTCTTTCTTGGGATCATATAACTCCCACCCGTTAAACTCCCTCTCCGGCAGAGGAGGCTGATAAGCAAACGCATACAGCTTATCTACCTTCCCAACCCTACACGTCCACTGCTTGATCGTATCATATACCTCGCGCGCCTTATTCTCAGTGACAAAGTAGAAGCAAACAAAGGTGAAATCGCGGCACCGCAGACGGATCGAGGACGGCTGGCGAGAGGCCGCGGGTGTCGGGCGCAGTGTGCACAGGGATATTATCGGGTATGTGATCCAGAGTTCTCGTGGTCTGACGGAGGTTCCTTGCGCTTGTGCTGGGCCCGTGTCGGATGCCGGGGGAATGTGGGAGAAGATGAGGTGGTGAGGGGTGAGGTGAAGGTTGCCGACGACCTGGTCACCACGGCGCGCCAAGGTCACATTATCAACCTGGAGTTTTGTCAGTATTCTTTTCCTGATGCTTTTGTTGTTGATGTTCGTTCGGAGTCAGGCCACGAGACTCACCTTAGCAACCCGTGTTCTCTCCATGCCTTTCCGTTACTGTAACCGCAATACCTTCATGGTCTTATCTATCGCCAGGACAAAAAGATTCAAATGAGGCACTCAGCCCGTAAAATGAATATAAAACAGATATGAAAGATAGCCTTGGTAGTGTGGAGGAAGAGTGGTTGACTCGACCGGATGCGGAGCCCCTCGTGCCAGCTACGTCAAAGGCGGAGCCGCCAATTGGAGAGACAATGGAATGCTGTACATGACTACATGTACAGCATTCCAGCGCCAGTGTTTTGTTTGTATTGATATATAAATGCGAAATGTCTGCAATTCTGTACAAATGTGCGAATGCTGTCTGTTTTGTTTATTTCGTTTGTGGTGTTTGGTAACTGTGCTCACCGAACTATATATCTGACCTAACTATATACCACTGTGACCAGTGTGCACAACTACATCTACAACCAGATAACCCAGGATGAATTTAATCCCACCCCCATCACCCCAAGACCTCTTCCTCTATCGCTACCAACACGCCACAAACCTAGGCTCCGTCTTCGTTCTGGAAAGATGGCTCCGCAACAGCATGTACGACGACACCCCCGGCTCCAGTGAACTAGAAGCTATAAAACGGTACCCCCCCACCTTTCACACCCCATACCCCATCCCCCATACATAAAAATTAATACAAATACTAACAGTGACATGCAGATCCCTACAAATCCGCGGCCTCCACGAAACCCGCACAAAATGGGAAACCCTCTGGCAAACAACCCTATCCGACGACGACCTGCACTGGCTGAAACACACCGCGCGCTGTAACTCCATTCGTCTCCCGATAGGATACTTTACGCTAGGGCCGGCATTTTGTATCGGTACGGATTTCGATGGCGAGCCGGGACAAGTGTATCTCCACTGCTGGAATACTGTCAAACACTTGATTGAGAAGTGCTACGCATACGGTATCGGGGTCTTAATCGATTTCCACGGTGTTCCGGGTGGCGCGAACAGTGAAGGCCATAGCGGGACTGATTCCGGACGAGCTGAGTTCTGGGAAAACGAGCACTACCGCGCTCTAGCGCGAGACAGCATCGCGTTCGTTATCCAAGAAGTCAAATTCCATTCCCTCCACGGCGTCATCGGAATCGAACTATGCAACGAAGCAACCTGGGATCCACCGAACTTGTACGAATGGTACGACTCGGTCATCGAAGTCGCAAGTGCCATCGACCCATCCATACCAATCTACATCAGCGACGCATGGAATCTCTCCGCAGCGCTAGACTACGCCCTGGGCAAGAATCACGCCACCATACCCTGCGACAGAAGTCCCGTTATCGTGGACACGCACAAGTACTACTGTTTCATGGAAGATGACAGAAACATGCATCCAGATGCTATTCGCGAACGTGTTGCGAATGAACTAGGTGAACTATCTGATCGGCAGGGCAACGTGTTCGACCGGAAATCAGCAGTCGAGGTGTATATCGGGGAGTATAGCTGCGCCATGGACCAGCATAGTTTCGAGCATGGCGATCCGTCGCAACGGCCTGGGTTGACAGTTGCGTTCGGGAATGAGCAGAGTAGAACGTGGTCGGATAAAGCTTCGGGTTCTGCATTTTGGACGTTTAAGATGGATTGGATGGATGGTGGGGATTGGGGGTTTAAGGAACAGGTTAATACCGGCGCGATTCCGGCGCCTCCGTGGCTTGCACTCTCAAGAGAGGAAGTGCGCGAGAGGCTAGGGCAGGCTGATATTCAAAGAGTTGATCATCACGAAGAAGCCTACTCTCAACATGTCGGGTACTGGGACTCCGCAGCCCCGGGTGTAGACTTCGAACATGACCGCTATTCCCGCGGATGGGACCTTGGATACGCCGATGCAGGGTACTTTTTCGGTGCGTTGGTGAACGGTATGATCCCCGGCCAACGCGAAGGAGGTGAGAAAATCGGTGCTCTTGACCTCTGGGTCCGGAAGAGAATCATCGAAACGGGCGAGGTGAATCAGGGTCTGGGCTGGGAATGGGAGCACGGGTTCCGAAGGGGCATTAGTGATTTCTACTCCATTGTTGGGGTTTAGGTTTACATGAACCATCGTATGCACATTCATAGCTAATCTAATACACATAATAATAATACATCCAAAGGGGAGAAATACAATCAAATCCACAAACGGCAATGTCTAAGGTTCCGCCCGTCTAGCCGTATCCAACTCAAACGCCAACTTACAAGCCGAGCCATAGAACGAATTAAACGTCTGCAGCAGCTCGTCCAGTTCACCCTCCTTTTCAGAAACCTTGGCATCAGGAGGAAGATCCATATCCAAGAACAAGTCCGTCGCGCGAGAGGGGTAAAACGGCCCGCTCTCGTAGTAACTGTAGTTGAGCCGTTTGTCTTCGTAGTTATAGCGCTGGAGATATGTCCCGCGGCGGTCTACGAGGGGTAGACTCATGTACTCTGCGGTGACGAAGTCTTTTTCTGAACCAGAGAGGTTCTTCTCGTTGAGGATTTCTTTGGGCAGAGAGAGCTGGAAGAATGTCGGCAGTGCAACGTCACCGCTGTCGTTTGGTCTGGTCTGGATGAAGTTGTTGCGGAGAGAGGTCTTGAGGGTTTCCGCGCTCTCCTGCCACGATTGCTCTGGTAGATCGCAGTACATCTTTCTGGTAAAGCGGAGGTCCAAACCGTTTTCTGGGAGAAGGTAGTCGACGTTGTTCTGGGAGATGATGGCCTTTGCATTTTGCACTACGAGTTCTGGTTTCTCTTCGGAGTCGGGGTTTTCCAGTAGAGAAACTTCTAAGTCGAGTTGTGGGAAGACATTTGCGTGGAGAGCTGACGGAACTAGCAGAACGCGGCGAAGTTGCTGCTTGTCACTGTTTTCATGGTTTCGTAATTGGCGCAGGAATGAAGGCACTCGGGGGAGGTCTGTTGTAAACGAGCGAGGAAGAGACAGCTTGCTTAGTGTTGTCGCATCGACAGGTTCACGGCTCATAGTAGGTTTGCACAGGAACAAACACCTTCCAACCGCCGCCGTTACACTCTCGTGCACGTCAACCTTCTTGCTCAGCTGGTACTTAGGCGAGGGCTTCCGCAAAATCTTGAGAAGCCCATCCGATAACCTCGTCTGATGCTGCTCAAACAACGGCATATCTAACGGACTCGGCCCAGCCGTCTGCGTCGACGGCGTAGCCCACCGAAACCAAGCCTTCTGCCGCTCAAACCAATTCCCATCATTCTCGAGACTAAAATCGTAAGCCTCGGCAGGCTCCATAGCAGAGAAATAACTCGTAAAAGGTAACGGATCCGGATTCGTGCTGTAAAGCGCAAGATTCAACGTCCTCCGGGCATTCTCCATACCCTTTCTGTTCTCTGCGAGATAAAGAATCTTCTTCGGACCTTCTCGAGTCACGCCCTCGAACGCAATGCCGTAGGCCCTACTGACCCAATCCAGAAAGTCCAAATGGAACGTGCGACTCCCATCAAACCGGTTACCGACCCGCGGGAACAGTTCAACCTCCTCCTCACGTATCCGCAAACTGGTATCCTGAATGATATCCCGAATAGTCTCGCACGCAACCCGACTCCCCGTAATCCTCACCAACCCCAGCGAATTCGTAATATCAATCTTCGCATCGTTAAGACTGGCCACCTCTTCAAACGAAAAGATCTCCGAGTTCTTCAATAACGACAACGTCGTCGCAGATAACCGGATATCCACCTGCCCGGCCTCCCCAACAACCTCCAACTCCCAACAATCCCGCAATATCCGCTCAGCAAGCAAATGTTTGCCCTTCAGCGACTTCTTCGTCGCCGTAATCCGCTCAGTAACACCACCCTGCCCAACAGGCCCTGTCTCCAGAAACCCAGGCGTCCCGGGCCTCCACTCCAGCTCCCGCGAACCACTCCCCTCCCCAGATCCATAGAACTCCTCCGCATTCCGCTTATGCTCCGATACATAATCACCCAACTGATACCCCGTAAACGACGCCTGGACCTTCCACCTCAGCTTTTCGAACTCAACCGCGTCGAGTTTATCGCCCGCCGAATGCGGCGCAAGAAGACTCTCAACCCGTTCGTTCACGATCTCTCCCGTCAATTCCACAGTCTCGTCTTCAATTTCCTGGAGCAAAAACGGTACATCGCCCTTCTCGCTCAATCTGTCGGGGCCGATATCCAGCGCTGGCTTTTTCTGGCGCTTTTTCGTCTCGGGAACGACCACGACACCACCTTGTTCGCCGAGGAAGGTAACGTTTATGGGGACATGTTGGGCTTTTGGTTTGGGTTGGCGGCGGCGTCGGGGTTTGTCGTCGCCATTGTTCGAGGTGGTGGATTTGGATCGGAGGAAGAGGTCGTAGCGGCGGGTGACGAGGGATAATGGCTTTTCTCGGCAGGTTTGTAGGGATTGGGGGTTTAGGAGGCCCGCGGGACTCCGTGGTGTTCGGGAAAACATGTAGAATTGGTTGCTGAGAGCATTGAGCTCTGCTGCTGGTTTCTGGAATTTGTTTTTTTTGGTCGCGGCGATTCTTCTGATATCCGCATTGCGCTAAACCCAGAATGGAAGTATTTGCCTCAGGCTATTAAGTCTATATACAGGGTACAACATGGTATTTATACAAGAACGAAAGAAATGACAAGAAACAGAAACGAAGAGAGATCACTCCTTAGGAGAAATTTCCCAACTCCTCAAATCCTCCCTCACATCAAACTCCGACACCTCCTGCTCACTCGCCCGACTTCTCAATCCCTTCGCCTTGGGATTATCAAAGATCTGCTGCTCAATGCTCCCGCCTCTCCTCCCATGCCCATGCCAATTGCCCATATTGCCAATAGCAGAAAGCAGCTCCGGTGCCTTGACCTCATTGCTGGAAGAGCTCTTCGGCCGTCGTTCAAAACTAGGCGATAAATGATTCCCGGACGGAGACTCGCGCTGATTTGCGCCATTCTCCGCACTAGCGACATTCAGGCTATCGTCTAGCCGACTCTGGCGCTGGTTCTGGTTTCCATTGTTGTAGCCGGAGCCTCCGGAAAATAGGTCTTCAATTAGTTTATCGGCGGGGAGGTCGGTTGATCGGGAGTTCCAGGATGCTGCGAGCGTGCGGCGGTAGAGATCTTGCATGTCGGAGACCTCGCTGCTCTTCGCGCTGAGGGATGGAATGGGTCCGCCGCTAACGGGGTCATCGGGGTCGCCTTGTTCAGAGGACACCACGCCTGCGATTCCACCAAACACCATGGCAGATCTCAGAGGTGGCCTGCACAGTCAGCATAGAGCAACAACAACAACATCCATACCAACAGATAAACCCACGTAATAAAGTTCCTATCCCCCTCCGTCTGCCTCATACATATCCCCACCCTCAACGTACTATTAATCTTACTGTCCTGCATAAGATACCTCCTCACAATCCCCTCCTCATCATCACTCTTATCCACATACTCGGACAGATTCAGCCGGATGCGTCCTAGTATATTCCGATCCCCATGACCCCCCGACGCAAAGTCCTGAGCGATCTCGAAATGTACCTCGCATTCCTGGAGTGTCTGGTTTCGGTCGATCGTAAGTCGGACTTGGAGGGATTTCTCGTAGTACCACTGCGCGCGGTGGTCTATGATGACTGCTTTATCGGTGTAGCCGTTGTGTTCTGCTGCGCTGGAGGACGGGAGGCGCCATTTGACGAAGGCCGTGCCGCTGACGAGGGGGATGTTGTTGAGGTCGATTATCTGATGGTCAGCATTATACATGACCGTATGGATAGCGTGGGACATACCCTTAAAACAAACTCGAACCTGGGCTGCTTTACTTCAGCATCCAATAAACCCTTTATCAGTGTAGAGACCTACCCTCCTATTCTTCGGGACTGCGGTCATGTTAGCACGTCACATAGTACTCAGAATGATGTCCCTTACCGAACGCCTGCATCGTCAATCAACTGAAAGCATATATTAATACCAGACTGCCGTCTTATTCAAAATCCATCCAATGGAATGCACTCCGATGCATGCATGTAGCCATCATTGCCCAGGGATGGAAGGGCGGTGATGCTATTGTCGGGCAGTTCTAGACCGCTTAGTTATCTCCGCCGAATTTACTCCGCGGCTATGCTTCTAGTTCAGTCCATTCAACAACGTCTAAACGAAATTGAACAGACTGATTACACGGATTTCGATAATGGCTTCAACAGACCAGCTACCAGCGATGAATATCATCCCGCTAGACTCCCCCATCCGCACAACGCCAATCCACCCCCTCCTCCCAGAAATCCGAGTCCCAGGCCGACCCGCAGACACAGAAACACAATCCAATGAACCCCCAAAAGACCAACCAAACAACGAAACCGAAAAACTACTACAATCATACAACTACAACCCCCTAACCTGCGCCCCCTTCCCATTCTCCAACAGCTCCCAGAACCAACCCCTAACCACCGACACACAACAAGAGAAAGAACTAGCGGATCTCCAAGAAGAACATCCTACCCCCGAAGCCGCCCTAAAGGCGCAAGAAACCACAGCGCGCGAAGCAAAACGGCGGATTGAAGAGACTGTCAAGAAGAGAGAAGAGGTGCGGAGGGCGATGGATAAGAAGGTTAAGGAGAGGGATACGGAGATGAAGGTGCTCGAGAAGTATCAGGAGGTTAAGGTTAAGGCGTCGGATATTTTGCCGTCGTGATGGTTCCAAGGTATGATGATTTTGGTTTTGGTTAGGGGGCTGTGTGGGTTTATGGAAGGGTTTGGATAGGCCAAGGCTGGGAGGAAGAAGTTTATCTGTTTCGAGACATTCATGGCGTCCTGGGGTTGAGATACGGGGATTTGGTCTCGACCGGTTCAAACGCGCTAGGAAAGGAAAGCCAGGGTACAGGATCCGGCGAGCTCAGGACTGATCCAGGACACCTTTGAATACGATGATACCCATGCGCGACATCTACTTGAAGGATGCTTGACACGAGTCCTTCAAGGTACATACTACGAACACTTATGCACTACACTTGGGCAATATAAGTTGAATAATGACATGAATTAATATTCAAGCATGACATGACATGACAATTAACATCTCTGTACATATATACCAACTCAGGCTTCATATGTAAAACCCCGAACATCCTCCACATAACATATCCATCATGGAAATGCGTTAATTAGATCATAAAAAACACAAGGAAATAACACAAGAAAAATAACACATTAATCATAATAAATCAATCCCGCTTAAACATCACCCAACAACTTAACAACAGCCGGCAACAACTCCGACGCATCCTCAATCAGCGTCTGCGTCTGGTTAACAAACTGGTGCGTAAGCAAGTCATTGGCATTATCAAGCAACCCAGTAACCTCCTTAAGCATCTCGGGCGTAATAACCGGCGAAACCTCGCCAATAAGATCCTTGGTCTCATTAACGAACCCAGGTGTAAGTAGCGTGTTCGCGTTACCCAGCAGACCCTTGACGTCCTTGAGGAGATCGGGAGTGATAGCGGGAGAGACAGTGTCGATGAGAGACTGCGTCTCGTCAACGAATTTGTCTGTAAGAAGCTTGCCAGCGGAGTCGAGGAGGCCGGGGACCTTGTCGAGGAGGTCTGGTGTGACGACGGGAGCGACGTCGCCGATGAGACCCTTGGTGTCCTTGACGAAGTCCTTGGTGAGAAGGGAGTTGGCGTTGCCGATGAGACCCTGGGTTTCGTCGACGAAGTCCGAGGTGAGGAGGGCCTTTGCGTTGGAGAGGAGGCCGCCGACGCCGTTGAGGAGCTCGGGGGTGACGATGGGGGCGACGGCGTCGATGAGGTTCTTGGTTTCGTTGACAAAGGAGGGGGTGAGCAGGCTGTTGGCGTTGTTGAGGAGGCCGCCGACTTCCTTGAGGAGGTCGGGGGTGAGGATCGGGGCGACGGAGTCGATGAGACCCTTGGTTTCCTTGACGAATTCGGCAGTGAGGAGGTTGTTGCCGTTGGTGATGAGGTTGTTGACCTCCTTGACGAATTCGGCAGTCAGGAGATCGTTGCCGTTGTTGATCAGCGAGTTCACCTCCTTGACAAAGTCCGCGGTGAGCAAGTTGTTGCCATTCTTGATCAGGGAGTTGACCTCCTTGACAAAGTCAGCAGTCAACAAGTCATTGCCGTTGTTCAGCAACTTGGTAATCTTGTCGAACAGGTCGTCATTAAGCAGGGGCTGGACGTTCTTGATCAAGCTGTTGATCTCCTTGACGAAGTC